TTCTTGGTTTTACCTTGGACTGCAGCCTTGTGTGAACCCAGGGGCGTCACAGTTGGTATCAGAGCTCTAGTTCTAGTATCCTTAGGATCATCCTGTGTCGAGTCATGGAGCTAGGATAGAGTTTCTTAGGATTCATGTATAGAGTCCGTAAGGATTTCCTAGTATGAGTGAGGACGATATATGCGTATATCTTAAAAATTGAGAATTTTTTTATGACAACTATTTTATGTTGATTGAATGTGTTTGCGTGAATACTATATGTTATGAATTCGTATTGTGATACGTTATATATATATATATATATTTGCTATCTCACTTACTGTGAAAATTAAGCTCTCCTTTTGATATTATAAATATCGAAACGAGGATGTGGTCGAGGTAAAACTCGTACTTAGAGAGCTGGGCTTGTAGAGCCGAGCCGCAGTAGGCTCCACAGAATTTGATCGACTTCGTGGCGTCGTTAGCAACAAGATCTTACAACACTCGAGGAGCAAGTGGTGTATCCATTTCCGTCAGCAATACTACTTTCAAGAGTTTCACCGCTAGTTGTACATGTCGTGGAAGTTAAGAGGCAATACCAATGAGTACACCACCACAATCATCTGTTGATAGTGCCGCAGAGCAGGAGGTTTAACCCTGAAAGAATAAGAAAGATATCAGACAATGAGAACACCAGAGTTTCAAGGCATAGCAATTTCATTTGCAACCTATAAGGGAAGGAATGTATGAAAATTTCTTGAACGTCGACTTAGAACCAAGTAGAAGTTAGATGTATTCAGAATTGAGGACATTGCTGGATAATAGCAACGATATCCAGATTTTTGACGGGGCAACAATTATTACCTATTTGGGAGAATTTTAGTCACTTCTTCAACAAGCAATAAGAGCTAGTCTAAGTGAAGCGGGGAGATATACCCGTAGTGAAGGAAGAAATCAAAATCCAGAATAGTGACAATGACAATGGCAAGAGGACTATTGTAGAAATCTAGAGAAACCTAGCAACGAGAGAATGATTTTACCCCACCAACAAGGACAATATAAGAAAGGAGCACAATATGATTTGAGAGTGCCGAAGTAGCGCAGAGTTCGGAGAACATGTTACAATCACAACAAGATCGAACAAAGAGCAAAAGACTTGTCGCAGTACACAGTAGGAAGCTTGCATGATAGAGATCACGGTCGATAGTCTCAGAGTCATAATTTCGGCCAGCCATGGGGAAATAGAGGCACTACTTGTTAATCCGTGGATTTAGGGGCTAGCAGACTAGATATGTATTATCCAGTAGAGTCTATTCAGCTGTACCGCGTGATCAGGGTACGAGCGGAGCTTTATTCGTGATTTCCTTTTCAGTTCGGATCTAGTTTGATTTAAGAAATTTGCTTATCTCTTATCTTTTATGCCTTCGTTGATAGATTTCAGCTTGTGGTACATTCCTTAGATATTCCGTTGTTAGTATCTACTCCTCTAAGGGGGTGTCCATTCTATCTGTAGGGGATGTACTATCAAACTAGATGAGTCTGAGTTAGTCATCGAGTTGATCGTGTTGCGAATGTCAAATTTCGATATCATTCTTGGTATGGATTAGCTATCATCATACCATGTTAAGTATCGACTGTTTTACTAAAACAGTCAGCTTGTGAGTAGCAACCTCACAGGGTGCCCAAAATGTGGAGTCATTTCTAGACGATAATCAACAGTCCTTCTGATCAGTCCTCTTGAAACTGTGAATCGATCTCAAATCGGTTCTAAACTGATTCATTCATCCCCAAAATGATCACCAATCATAATAAAATTCATTTATTATTATGTACAATAATATTTTAAAAAATTTAGGTTTTACATTCACCCCTCCTTAAAGATAAATTCGTCCTCGAAATTTAGCAATTTATTATTAATCACAAGATATGTATTACACACACAATATTTACGCTTAACAGCTAGAATGTGAATACTCCTAATTAAGCTCCAATTAAACAGAACTAGTACGTCAGGCAAAAAGTCCAAACAAGAAACCCCCATGTATATACCATATATTCTGAATGATTAGCCGTTAAGTGTTAATACTCACATTCCAGCATGAAGTGTAAATGTAACTATATAGATAAGGTAAATACCAACAATACAATAACTGGGAAAGTACCTGCTCGAATAGATGTGGGTAGTCACGATGCATATCTTCTTCGTGCTCCAAGAAGCTTTCTCAACTCCTTTCCTGTTCCACTGGACCTTAACCAATGAAATTACTTTATTCCGAAGTTTCTTGTCCTCCATGGCAAGAATGCGGACTAGAGTCTCAACTATAGTCAAATCTGTCTAAAGCTCTAAATCTGGCACATCAAACACTCTCTGTTGTTCCTCGTCTCGTAAGTGTTTGCGTCGGAAATTGATTTATTTACTGAATCCATTATAACGTTTATCGTTTACGCAGATTCAAATGAGTTTTAGCCTTTTTATAAGACTTCTCTTTTACAAATAAATTATCAAAATAATTTCCTAGAAACACACGTAGAGGACGTTTATCACCCGCAACTTACGTGGGTTCTTTGCCTGTGCCGGAGATGTTGAATCCGTGGACCGCCGTGAATCAAATCAGGTTGATGCACGAAGGCTTGATGTTCATTGTTTCACGAAGGAAGCAAGAACATAAGTAAATGATCTTAACAAAGTGAGATCACGACTCTTCTCAAGATCAGTATAAATTCTAACCTCAAGAGATGGTGGAACGGGCCTCAGATCCTTTATGCTCGAGTTCACCAAGATCTACTAGCCTCTCTGAAATTCATGGGATTTTACTCTCTAAACTGATATCACCTCGTCCTCCTCTCCGAATTTCCGATCCCTCGAAAATATAGGCGCTAGGCTTGTATTTATAGGCTTCAGCTGTAGCGTTTTAGAAATGGAATAAGTGATTTGGTCTTATCTTCAGTCAATAATAGCCTAACCATGTTTAAGGATGATATCAAAGCTGTTGGGGAGACTCTAGAATAATAAAATCTCAAAAAATCATCAACAAACACGTCATCGCGGAGTCTGGATATGCGGGTCACTCTAGTATGACCTACACGGGTGCGGGTCACCTCAATATGACCCTCACACCAGTAGGTCACTTTGATGCGACTCGTAGGTGACGATGCCCCATTTTGATATTATTTTGTTGTTTTTGCACATTCCTTCATTTCTTCTTGGCCTCAGACGATCTCCTTTGACTCGGATGATGACATTCATCACATTCGCTTCATCTCGAGCTGTGTGCGGGAATTTATAGGTAATTTTTGACGTCTACAGATACTCAATCCAAAGTGTTTCAGCCTCATTCTTTTATAGAGAAGGCTGGAATACTTTAGATATGATACGCCCACCCTTCAATTCTTAGACTTCTTCAGCCTTCAACCTATTCAGTATTTTAGCAAATAGCTAAAATTCTTCTGGTACTGCGTTTATCGTCTGACCGTTGTCGAAATCTTGAACTGAAACTGGTGTATTAGTTTCTGAATATAGCTCGTGTCGTTGAATCAACGTTGAACTGATCATCTTTATCGGGAGTTTGCATCTAAATACGATTGAACTCCCTGGAATAATCCTTTGACCTGAAATTAATCCTGGACCTTATTTTAGTGAAACTATCAACGTGTTGACCAGCATTGACCCTCATTATAGTGCAACCGAGCCTTATTTTGGCGAAAATATGGACGTGTTGATCGACGGTGATCTTCTTTGCAACGCGTTGACCGGTGTTGACTCTTATTATAATGTGTTGACTCTCATTGTCACGCGTTGACCGACGTTGACTCTCATTATCACGTGTTGATCGGCGTTGACTCTCATTGTAATGTGTTGACCGGTGTTGACTCTTATTGTCATGCGTTGACTGGTGTGGACTCTCATTGTAATGCGTTGGCTAGCGTTAACTCTCATTATCACACGTTGACCATCGTTGACTCTTACTGTCACGCGTTGACCGGTATTGACTCTCATCGCAACGCATTGACCAATGTGCACATAATTTATACTCATACATTAACTGGAGTCTACACAGTTTAAGCTCTTAAGGCGTTAGAGCGTGAAGAATCAGTTTATACTCGTATACTCTTTGGAGTTTCAGGAATTAGTTCAACCTTGTATACCCATAGGAGGTTCAAGGAGATGCAGTTTATACTTATATACTCATCAGAGTGTGAATACGGGCTTCTAATACATCGAAAACAGGCGAAACGGGCGAAAAACATCCACAGGGACAATCCTGTATGTGAGTCACATCGAAATGACCCGCATGTGTGCGAGTCATGTTAAAGTGACTTGCACGTGTGCTTGTCACATTGAAGTGACTCGCAAGTATGCGGGTCATCTCGAAGTGACTCGCACAGGGTCGGTGTTTGGGGTTAAGGCTCTGTTTGGCAAAACTAGCTGAAAGCTGCGAGATTATAGCTGAAGCTGTCAAGCTAGCTGAAAGCTGTGAAATTGTAGCTGAAAGCTGATAGCTGTGTAACTAGCTGATTGACTAGAGCTGTTTGGCAAAAGAAGCTGTACAACTAGCTTAAATTTGTTAAATGACTAAAAAGGTCATGCAATATTATTGATATAAAATTAGAATTATTAGGGGCAAAAACGGAAGAAGAAAATTGACAGTTCCTTCCCAAAGATAAACGCTACTTGAGATAGCTTTCCAAAAGCTACTTGCAAAAGACACAATCTCCAAAATAATCTCCTCCTATTTTTGGTCACCAAACAGCTCTACTAGCTTATTTATCCAAGTCAATAAGACACAAGCTCTTAGATAAGACACTTTTTTTTGTTGCCAAACAGTGCCAAGTCAATCAACTAGCTTAACAAATTTAAGCTAGTTGTACAACTTCTTTTGCCAAACAGCTCTAGTCAATCAGCTAGCTACACAGCTATCAGCTTTCAGCTACAATTTCACAGCTTTCAGATAGCTTGACAGCTTTCAGCTATAACTTTCAGCTAGTTTTGTCAAACAGAGCCTAAATCTTCAACTCTGATTTTTTCCTCCTTATTCAAGTTCGGAACTCCCTCTTCTTCAAGAACTCCTCTCTCCTTCTCCAACTAAAACTCCTCCCCTTCAAGGACTCCTCTCTCCTTCGTCCTTCCCTCTTCTCATTAACCTTCACCTCTTCAACTTCTTCTTCCTCCTTAGGGTTTTTTGGACGGCGGCGAGGCGAGCTAGGGCTTTCTCACGCTTCTCAGTGAGGATCCGGAACCGGATGAGCGTGATCGTGTGAGGAAGCATCTGCCATTGTCGAGGAGCATTGGAGACTCGGTGGAGGTTCCTTCTATGGAGAGCCAGAGACACCATTGTTTCTATCTCTCCTCTCTCTGAATCCAGGTAAGATTCGTTCCCCTTACTTCAACTTTGATTGATTTAAGTCTCTAGACTTCGGTTCTTGAGGAAATTGGGAACCCTAACCCTCGAATTTTGGGAAAATTGATGTCTTGGTGTGTTTGAATCTAACAGGAATTGATCTCTATCTTCTGTATTTGGTAATTCCCCAAACTATATCCTCAACCACTTCTTTGATTTTAGGTAAGAATCTTGATCTCATACCCCACTCTCCCTCACCTTTTCTCTTTGATTTTTGGTTTTTGGAATGGTTGAATTTCTTGGTCGGTTGTTGCAATTCTCGCTTGTGAACAAGAACTGATGTTGAGTTCTTGAGGATGGTGATTACTTCTTGTTTTGGGCATGGCCAAAGCTTTGGTTGTTTGAACTTGATTTGGGAATTGAGCTCGTTAATTTTTCATGTGGACATGGCCGATACTCTTCCCTTGCTTGTTGTTCAAATGTGGTTTTGGGATGTGAGCAAGAATTAAAGTTGAGTTCTTATTTTAATTTTGTCTAAGAACTGGTATGTTGATGATTTTTTTTAATGCTTGGACCCAAGGGGAAAACCTGAAGCTTCAGTCCTTCGATTTAGGCATAACTGAACCTTTCGCTTGATTGTTTGATTTCTCCGTGACTTGTAACATATGTGCAATTTGACTTTCCCCCTTGGGATGTTTGGTTTTGTATACCCTTGGTTGAGACTCAAATTATTACCTGAGCTTTAGTTAAGAGCCGCACCTCTGGTTATGACTTCTTTGACTTGAATAAGACTTTGATTTGGTGTTGACAAAGATCAAAATTTAGTTTGATTTAGAGTGTAAATCAAACTCTCCCTTTTTATTGTATATATGTTTTGGATGACCACCGAGCTCATTATTAAGTCCCTTGGTTCATATCTTCTTTTGATTTGGTCTTGAACTTATTGCTTACCTTTGGTTGATTGACTTTAATGTTGGACGTAACCCGAAGCTTTCCCCTAGGTAATTAGTTATGAACCGAGACACTCGAGGCTGTTATCTCCATATTGTGTATTGATCAAACTTGTGGTTTTGGTCTTGATGTCCATGGGCTTAATTGGATTTTTAATCAAAAAATTCTATTTTTATAGAATTTAAGCTAAATTTCACAATTTACCTTTTAATTCCTAATTTACGTGTCTCGATTCTCAATATAATTGAACTGCTGTCCTTCATTGCAAATTAGTTATGTCGCTGAAGAGATTGCCATTCTGAGGGGTCGATCAACTACTCAACCACCTGAGAGAGAGCCTTCATCATATGAGGGTAAGTTTTTACCGCTTTTACTCATGAATTCAAGATTATTATACTGCATGTTGTATCCTTGTTTGCTTTCCTATGTGAGGCATTTGAAAAGAGCTGACATCCTCCTTTATGAGGGTCGACGCCTAAAAGATGTGTTTTGCTTGGTCAAAACATGTCTTAAGGCAATAAGGGGTGATTTCATGCTGCATTGTGTTTCGTAGGATGTGGTATATCATTGCTTTATCCGTGTGACAATGTACGTCGTCCTCAATGTGTGTAATACAATTGAAATCATCTCGCCAATTACAGGGCAATGACTCTATCTCACAGATTCGTGGGATGAGTTCAATACCTTGTATTGCCTTAGAATATTCTTGTAACCGCGTTTAATAAATATGCGTTACTTGTTTTCAGTTGAATTCCTTCCAGAGGTGTTCTCCCCTCATGCGGTGGACGGTCACCGCAGTGAGGCTTATGCCTCTATTGATGACCCAATGCTCATCCCGACTGTTCCCTAATTTTCTCTGGATGGGCCTGAAGAACTTCCTCAGCTGGTGTGGAAGGGAGATCGCCATATCCTATGATAATTGATCACTGATGCACCACTTGTTAAAGATTCTAGCTCTACCCATCCTTTGAGGAAACCAGATTATTTGTTCGGCGACTCCGTTGAAGACCCGGCCGCTGTATCTCTTGAAGCTGAGCAATGGCTGCATAAAGATGATGGAGGCCTCCTATATCTTCCCCTAATTCCTCGCCATCATTTGCTGACTGAATTGCGGAAGTAGGCTGTGACACGGGAGATGTCGTGGCATTTGTGTAACAACAGTAATTTTCGATACATATTTAAATAATTTTTCTAGTATTTAAAATGTTAAATTTTATCTTATTAATATTTTTCCCAATTTTGGAATTTTATGAGTTTTAAAAAAAATAAATAAATAAATAAAATATATAGTCCTGAAATTATTAATTCTGTGAAATATTAATTTATAGTTACAATGAATATTTTAAATAATTATTTTAACTATTGATACTATTAATAATTTTTTATGTAAATTTGAGCTTAGTACATTAGTACATATACAAATATATGAATATTTAGTTGTTAATTAATTATTAATATTATTATTCTGAATATCTTGCAAATATATGCCCATAATCTTCTCCCTCTTAATTTCCTCTAATTTGAATTCCTTCCAAATTCTTTTTCCCAATAGCCTTAATCACTTCCCAATCACCCCCTTAATCATGTTTATTTTATACCATTTCTCTTCTCAATCACGTACATTTTTCTCTCTCCTTAATTTTCTCTCTTATCCCCTTCCAAATAAGCACATATCCCTTCATTCTCTCTCTCTACACGTTTTCTCTCTCCCCTCAAAAGAATCCCTAACTCTCCTCTCACATATCATCTTCCTCCTCTCACCTGAGATTTGAGCCAATCCCCTGCTTCCCCCTTGCTGCCGCCCCTAAACCGCCATCACGCCCAGCAAAGCCCCGCGGAGTCGCCTTCGACCGCAGCCCCTCAAGCTCGTCCGCCTTCCCCTTGTGAGCTGCCGCCCCTGACTGCCGCTTACACCCCAGCCGCTCGCCTCCAAGACCACCGCACGTGCCTGTCCCGCCTCTTCTCCAGCGCCTCGTCACTCTCTTTCCCCTCTCGGCTCCACCACGCGAACTCTCACACAACCCTCTCCAACTCCGACCAGCCCTCGTCCGTCGACAAACCCACCCAGATCCGCGCACCAATAACGTCAAGCAGCCCCTCTCCCTCGCTCGAGGCTCCAGCCTGACCCCGTCTCCTGTCCTCCGAGCGCTGAGCCTAAGCCCTTGCCGCCACCCGCGGATCTACAGAACGCACGCCCCTTCTGTGCACCTCTATCCACCGCCGCTCTACCTCCTTTTCCTCCTCGACCCCGTTCGAAGCCGCGTCCGGACTCCAGCCCCACGTCGGCTGCCGACACTACCCGACAGCCACGCGCTCCTCGCGCTCACCGTCCATCTCACGAGAACTAAGGCAAGTCCCACCTCTGACTGCTACTCATGTATTCTTTTGATTATATACTACTGTAGTATTTATAATGTGATTAACTTTACAACATTAATTAGTAACATGTTATATGTTGTTTAGAGTCTATACATAAGTGTAGTAAAATAAGTTTTAGACACCAGCTAGTGCCGGTCATTTTCACATATCGTTTAGCAAGATCCCTATCCCGTTTTTGATTTGTTCTCAGTACAATATTAGAATTGTTCCTAATTTGAGTATATACAATAGATTAAGATTTCGTTTAGTTTCTGTTGTTGTAATTTATATTGTACATATTGTCGTGGTGGAATTGTTGATGAATAATACTATATATAAAGAAGAAAAGAATTTATCGGGTAAAAGATTTTTTTAAGACAATTAATAAGTAATTAAGAAATTTATTTTGAAAAAGAAATTATTTTCTATTGAGAAAAAATTTATCCTGGCAATAATACATTTTAAGTTATTAATTATAATAATAATTTTAAAGAATTTATTTTGTGAAAAGGATATTTTGAGTTAATATTTATTATTTAAAAAGATTATTTAGAAAATGTATGATGAGATAATCTTAAAGAAACATTTATTTTGGAACAAGACTTTGTATTTGATTAATTATGCTGCAAGATCCCGCTTCGGTTGATTTATCATTTCATTATTTATATCTGTATTTATTAATTGCATAGATTAGACTGTTATTATGTGGTTTGGTTGATGAGTAATATTAGTAGTAATAATGAGATAATTACTGAGTGGTTATATTCGTAAAGAGGGGGTATGATATGTATTCTGAGCCGTATGTGATGAAAGGATATTTTGATGATTATATTATAATTAATTATGAGACATTTTGAAAGAAAGAAATTTTTTGTAAAGACTATTTTGAAATGTTATTGTAATAAATAAATTAAAGAGTTTATTTCGGAAATTGATTCATTTTTAGGGAGATTATAATGTTTTAAAAGAATTTAATTTGGTATCGAAATCTTTTTAGATAATTATATCAATTTAAAAGAATTTATTTTGAAAAAGAATTTATTTTAGATTAATTATAATGAGAAAAGAAATTATTTTGAAAGGGAGAATATTAAAAAGAATATTTAAAAAAATATTTTTAGAATTATTTAAAAGGAGTTTATTTTGGAAAATGAATTTTTGAATTATCTATTCTTATATTTGTCGTGCGTGTGGAATTCCATTTTATTGGTCATTTATTAGAATTTTAGATCTGTTATGAATTTCATGCATAGATTAAACTGTGATATGTTATTACATGCGTAGGATTTGTTGATGAATGATTGTATGGAACTTGTTGTTTTATCACCTAGTTGTTATCCAATAGGAGAGACTGTACATGAAGACGACTCCTGTTAAAAGTATGATTTATAAGCGTGCTTTCAAGGCATGGCTGTACCCTTGATATCGATATCCCGGTATGAGGTTTCCTTGATTATTACTATTATAGCATTGACTAGACAATGCACTCTTGATCGGACGTGTTACGAGTCACGGTTATTTTCATAGTTTTACAGAAGTCATTCCACAGTTACTCTGTGGTTAGTGCACGATATTTCATGTACAGTTACTTAATTAATATGACAAACATGGGGATATAAAGGGGAATTGGACGAAGAATATAACATTTATATAAACGGGCATATGCGCTTTCTTGATATTGTGAGTTTTATATATACTTGGGCCGGAGAGCCAAACTTGACTTAAGGGCGGCCCCCGGACGACTTTACGGGGACTCGATTATATATATGAAAATATTCTTCCCCAATTCAAATAACATGTAAAACAAGAATAATATGCTTGCGTGTTTTTGGTGGACTTTGTTGGTTTTATGAGATGTAGACTAGTTGTATTTCTGATCATACATAGATCGGGATTAATAATTAATTATCTACAATTTGAGACATAATGTATATACATGAGGGTTTCTTTGTTTGGATTATTTCGCTCGACGTACTACGTCTCAAGTTATAGGTATTTAAGTATTAATTCCATCTAGTTGTGTGATTTGGATACTTGGATGTTTACCCTGTTGGCTAGCTGTGTGATCTTAACACTTGGATGGTTTTCTTAGATTCTTCTGATGATTTTATTACAGTGATAGATTGCATTTAGATTATTAGTAATTCATTTGCATATTTTTATTATTATTACCACTGTTTTTGCTTTGGTCGTTCGATCGTTCCTATTTCTCTCTGTGGGATCTTACCGTGTGTCACACACACGCTGACGTACACCTATTTTTCTCTGGTGTACGTCAGATTTAGGAGATGAACAGCCTCAGTTTGGGATAGTACAGGAGCCAGAGGATTTGCAGTAGTGAGGTCTTCCAGATGGATCAGAAGATTAATTTGAAGCTTAGACTTTTTCTTTCTGTAGTAGTTGATGAGCGCTAGATCTTTTCTACAGAATCTTACTTTAGTATGGTGTTGGATTTAGTTGTTTTAGCAGTACCTTCCTTTTATTTCTGTTGGACTATGTATTTTATATTTTAGTTGGACCGTTTTGTAATAAGGGCGTGTTTAACCCATATTTTTATATCTGGGATGATTTATCATTGATGATATGTCTATTTCTTATTCTGGGTTGTCATTATATTCTTGCTATGTGTGATCGGGGACTTATGACTTCGTATATTATATTTTTGACGCTTAGCGTATTAGATTGAGTAGAAAAAGTTTATTTATTTATTTCTACTCAACCTAATACGTCGCGGGCTTGTTCACGTTCCGTTTCCCCGGTATTTTGAGAAGCGGGGCGTGACAGGTTTTAGTGGTGGCCCATGCAGGTCCCGGTCCCAAGTCCTCATTAGTAAGAATATGACAGATAACTTAGACACATATCATATTTCATCCGTAAGACTAGGTTTAAGCCCTTATACTATTATTTTTATAAACTTTGTTTTAGTTACTTACTTACCCGATTTTGACTTTGATCTTGACCTTAATTTTCCTCTTGATTCTCGCCTTCTTTAGAACCATGGTGACGACTCGTGGCAATGGTAACTTGTCCGGTAGCAGTGACCCGCCGTCGGAAGTGGACCCGAACCAACTTCTAGCGATGATTCATGGATTAGTTGTGAATTAGCAGTTCCTGGCTGGGCAGCTACAGCGGGAGCCTCAACCCCAGCCTCCTCCTCGCGCGGAGCATGGAGTTAGAGAGTTTCGATATATGCGGCCTCCTTCCTTTTCTGGTGCCGAGGGACCTTTAGCAGCAGATCATAATCGCCACCGTATAGCTTATTGAGAACGTCATCAAATGTATATGGTAAAATTTTCACATAATTTGGAGTCTTCTAGAATATGAATCAAACTAGTTTGATATGTTAAATTTTTAGACAACTTAATAGTCATCCCTTCTATTCATAGATAAAACAGTGATAAAAATTTTCAAAACAATATCAAAATTTCTATATATAAATCATGATGAGTGTGATTCAGGGATTGGTCAACAATTAGCAGCACCTGGCTGGACAGCTACACAGAGAGCCTCAGCACCAGCCTCTCACTCGTGTAGAGTCTGGAGTTAGAGAGTTTCGATATATGCGGCCTCCTTCCTTTTCTGGTGCCGAGGGACCTTTAGCAGCAGAGGAGTTTCTCAAGGTCACTGAGACTATTCTCACGGTGACCCACATCCCCCATGCTGAATGGGTGGACCTCATGGATATTCAGCTCACCGACACCGCCCGGATCTGGTGGGTAGCTGAGAAGACACATTTGGAGAGGCCCATCCTGTGGGAGACGTTCACCGAGCGCTTCAACTGGAAATATTTTCCTAAGTCAGCTCGGGATGAACTCCTACGAAGATTTATTGAGCTCAAGCAAGGAGGGAGAACAGTAGATGAGTACGAGGCCGAGTTTT